GCTAGTAACGTTTTTAACAAACTACATTTTTTTTAAATACGCAAGCAGTTAACATTTCAAAAAACAAAATTGAAGACCAAGATTTTTGCCTTAACCAAAATCAGTTCTACTTCAAAATAAGTTATTTAAAAAAGGCCATATACTATTTTTTTAACGAGTTTTTCGCGTAATTTCTGCTTGAAATTAATTCAATTTATAAAAAAATTCTCAAAACACGCTCCTTTCCAGCGGATAAAACGAGGAACGCTCAAAAGAATGGCTCGTTTTCGTTCAACCTGAATTTTCGAAATTGAAAATTTAGAAATAATGGATGAATGTATCCACAGTTGTAGCATCATTAGTGTAATATCGCCTATATTTCATTCAAAAGGTGCGAAAAATATTATAATTAAAAAAAAATGCATGACGTAAATCAAAGAGGTAATTGTGGAGGACAAACTTCATTTCACGAAAAAAATCTTTATCTTTAGTACTGTCATTGTAAAAAGTAGTCAAAATAATGTCAAATTCGCAAATTTCAAAATTTTAGAGTTCACAGTGAAAATTTGATCTTTGACCTGTATCATCAGTATATTTCGGAGTTTCAAAAAATTTGGAACTAGTGGTGCTAGTTTGAAAATTTTGAAGAATTGAACTAGTGGTGCTACAACAACACATTCCTTCTGGCATTATTTGTGACTTCTCACATTATTAGCAGCACATTATGCAGAGAAGCAAGAATAATTGTACATATAAATTCAATATCCAAAAATTAAGGCCATTCAGTATATTCGTTATGAATGCTTTGAAAACTACGATACCATTACGTTATGACCATGCTTATGCATAACGGAGTATATATTCTTTCTGGTTTTAATAAAGTTGAATGCAAAGAGTATATATGATGGTTGAATGTATGATTTTATTGAAGATAGATACGTTGTAAAATTAACGTTACGCAAATAAGCCTTATCTTTTCCCTCTCCCATCCAAGTAACCGTCCGAAGAAATTCTCGGAATAACTTCTAAAACATCCATCGCTGCATTGTTTGTTGTTGAATTTTCTTTCGTATTACATTGAAATCGTAGTTTTAAGAGAGAAAACCTCATTCGGCTCATTTCAATTAATGTTTGCGTATTGTTTGAAAGAAAATACACCAAAACATTGAGAATACACATTGTAGAATACAGTAAAAATCGAATTAATATTGAAGGTTATCAGTAGTCAATTATAATTAAAATATTATTAATTATTTTTCATATCCCTTTGATCTATTCCTGTGGTCCTAGAATTTTTCTCGTGGCTTACAGTTGATTGGTTACCGTTGTACATTTCATTAATTTTAAGCAACAATTACGAAAAACGTACTATTGTTTTCAAAAAATTGTACAGTATTTTTTTAGTGAGCTGCTTTTAAGAACAGATTTTCTTTCTTAAAATTCCCTATCTTCAATTTTGTAGATTTTAAACAAGTTTTTGCAATTTTCAAAAGTTTGAAGAGTACAACCAAAATGAGATCTGCGTCATTCTTTTAAGTATTTCTTGTTCTATCTATGAAAAAAATGATTCACAGATTTTCACAGTTAACTCTGAATTTTTAAAAATTGGAAAATTTTGAAATTTTTGCCGCGTCTTATGCGAGAAAAAAAATTTTGTAATTTTTGAAAAAACAAAAGAATAGAACAATATGGCGTTAATGTCATCTTATCTACCCCTACGAAAAATTTGGAGAGAAAAAATTGGAGTCGTTTTTGAGAAAATCTTGTTTATGTGTATTTTAAAAATTGAAATTATTGAACGCAATATTACGCGAAAACTTCTAAAGGTTTCAAAAAAATGTATATGGCCTTAATGAAAGGACTAATTGTCGACATATTTAATATGAAGGAAAAAACTCTTATCTTCAGGATTGTAGTTGTAGGAAGACGCCGAAAACAATTAATATCGGGGTGGGGGGAGTGGCCCGATATTGCGGACAAAGAGGAGGGACTTGTCGCGGCGCATTGTGAGTGGCGCTTAATTTAACTCCGGTGGGAGCCTGTAAATCTAGTAGCTCTGAGCTGGCAGAGAAGCCTGATGCAGGTTTCATTGAGGAGATTCCCGAGAAGGGTAACTGCGTTCTGGCGGGATCCAGGTATCAGCCTGTCAGTTAGGTGACTCCCTTGAAGGACCTGGACCTGACTCAGCCATTTCTTTCGATATTGACAATAAATGTGAACAGGAGTTCTGCACTATGAAAGCAACTGGCTTTGACTATCTTCTCTTTCGCGCCAACTAAGTTTTAATGCTTGGAAGGTTGTCACCAGTGCCCGCTGCAAGCTTTCGCCTTCAACTGTTTATTGTACAAGGGAGGGGGACAAGGTCATCGTTCAAGAAAAGTTGCGCGAGTAATACCTGTAGTTCAAAACAAGTGTCTCAGGGCCGCTCTCTGCGCCCCTAGATACACTCGTATAGAAACTCTACATCGCGAAGCATCAATGCCACTGCTAAAAA